TATTCGTATATGTGTACGCAGGTACGCACGCATGTATGTATGTGTGTACGCACGTATGTACGTATTTGTGCATGTGTGCATGTATGTGTGTATATACTTATGTATGCTTGTCTGTGTTTATGCATGCATGTACGTTTGTACGCAGTACGTACGCATGTATACATGTGTTCATGCATGTGTGTACGTATGTATGTACTGTGTATATGTCTGTATGTACGTATCTACGTATGCCTGCATCGATGGATGCATGTAAGTATGTACGTACGCATGCATGCATGATTGAATATTTGTATGTACGACTGTATCTGTGTATGTGTGCCTATGTGTGTACATATGTTAGTGTGTATATATGTCTGTACGTGTGTGAGGGTGTATGTATATAGATACGCGTGTGGATGCACGTATGTTTGTAGGTATGTACGCATGCATGCGAGTCTGCATGGATGTGTGAAGGCAGGTATCTACCAATGTGTGCACATGTGTACGTAAGTGTGTATGTATGTAGATGTGAATGCATGTGCGCAATCATATATGTATGTGTGTACGTATGTAAATATGTGTATGTAGTTATATTTGTATGTTTGTATGCATATGTATGTGTGTATGCATGTATGTATGTGGGTATGTTATGCTGTGGTTTGCTGTGTGTGCATGTGTGTATGTACGTATGTGCGTACTTATGTGTGTATGTATGCCTATGCGTGTGTACGTATGTATGTATATGTACGTGCATTTGTTTGTATGTCTGTATCTACGTGTGTAGGTATCGACGGATGCACGTGAGTTTGAATGTGTGGGTGCATGCATGTATGTATGTGTATGTATGCATGTCTGTGTATACAAGGGCTGCACGAATGTACACGTTTGTGTGGGTGTGTCTCTTGTACGCATGTTTTATTCGTGTATGCCTGGTCGTCCGTTTGTATTTATGTATATATGTATATAAATGTGTGTGTGGATGTACCTATGTATGTAGGTATGCACGCATGTAATTGAGTACGCGTTTATCTATGTACGTAGGTATGGCTGTACCCGTGTGCACGGTGTACGTAAGTGCGTATGTATGTATAGTTGTATGCATGCACGCATGTTTAAAAATGCATGCTGGTACGTATGTATTGCATACGTGTATGTACATATATACCTATGTGGGGATGCATGCATGAATTCATGCATGTACCGATATACGTACGTATGCATGTATGTATGCGTGTACGTGCGTGCGTTTGTATGTATGTTTGGACGTATGAATGTATACACGTATGCATGCGCGTACGTACGTGTGTATGTGCTCGTATGTATGTATGTATCTACGTGTGCACGTATGTACTCGTGTCAGTCTGTATGTATGCATGTATAGGTGAATGCTTGTCTTGATGTATGGATGTACGTATGTATGGATGTATGCGTGTATGCATGTGTGAATGTTTGTGCTTACGCATGTTTGCATGCTTTATGCATATAAGTCTGCACGTACGTTTGTGTGGATGCATGTCTGTAAATCTGATGATGTGCATGTACGTATGATTGTACGTACGTATGTACGCACGTATTTATGTACGCATTTATGTGTGCACGTATGCATGCATGTGTGTATGTACATATGTATGTCTGGACGTATGTATGTCCCCACGTACGTATGACTGTATGTGAAGGCGTCTGTATGTTTGCATGGATGTAGTTGGTTGCATGTCTGTGTGTATATATGTATGCATGCATTCACGTGCGCATGTGTGTATGTCTTTCATGCATGTATGTGTGTATGTATGTGAATGTACGTATGTATATGTGTGTATATGTATGCGTGTATGTATGTATGTGTTTATGTACGTATGCACGCATGCATGGTTTAAGCATGTATGTATGGTACGTCTGTACGGATGTATGTATGTATACATGTGTGTGTCCGTATGTACGTATATAGGTAAGTATTTGTTGAATGTATGCATGTATGCATGTCTGTACGTATGGGTGTACGTACATACGCATGCACGTATGTATGTGTGTATGCAAGGATGTACGTATGTGTGAATGTACGTTTGTATGTATTGATGTACGTTTGTGTGTACATATGTATGTATGGATGCAGTTATGCATATCTTTATGTACGTGTTTGTATAGTCATGTATGCATGCATATGTGAAGTCTGGATGTATGTATGCACGTATTCATGTAAGTACGTCGGTATATATGTACGTACGTATGTATGGTGGTGTATATGTGTAAAGGTAGTAGTGTCTCTTTGTATGTTCGTATCAATGTAGGTATGCCAACATGCAAGTATGTATGCATGCATGCCTGTATGCATGTCTGCACGTGTTACAGTTATGTGCGCGTAAATATGTGTATGAGTGCATATATGAGAGTTAATGCGTGTGCATGCATGGACGCGTGCATGCCTGCTGTATGCATGTATGTATGTCCGTGCGTATGCATGTATGCATGTATGTATGCATGTATATATGTTTGTGCGTATTTACGTACGTGTGTACATATGTATGTATGTGTGCGTGCGTGTAGGTATACATGTAAGTACGTGTGTACATATGCATGCATGCATGTATGTGTGTATTCATGTTTGTATGTCTAGATATATGTAAACTGTACGTATATATGTATATGTACACATGTATGTATTTATGCATGTGTGTATGTGTATGAATGTGTGTGTGTGTGTCTGTATGTGCGCGCGTGTGTCCACGAACTTTCTCGCTCTTGTCGCCAGAGAATTAGCGATGCCGTGACCCAGCTTGCCCGAGCGCGCGTGCGGACTGCCTCTGCCGAGCTGCAACATAAAAGTGTGTCCACGAACAAGACTTTTGTCGGCGCCGCATTATGTCTCCCTCTCTCTCCGCGGCCGCCTCTCTTCCCGCTTCTCGGGCTCCCTGGTGCGCGATTCGCTCCGCTGCGCCCCAGCGCTTGCTCTGACCGATGCGTGCGCTCGCCGAGTCCGCGACCAAAAAGTGCACACGAAGTCCTGGCGCCAACATGGGCGTCGTGACAAGGGCCGCTTCAACTAGGAAAGACGCCTGGGCATCCACACGGGATGCCTGGTACCAGCCAACTGAGGCCTTGGTAGCCAACCATCATGCAAGACAGCGCGAGGTACAATTGGCAGGTGTGTTGGAGACATGGGTGAAACGGACTGGCCTGGGCCAGCGGATCAGGGCGGCTGTGCGTCAGCAGGATTGGTTGGCCGCCTCGATGCGGTGGGTGGCGAGGTGGCGGTGTCAGCTGGCAAGGTCGCAAAGGGGATGCCAGCGTTCGTGGATGGGGTCAGTTCCGGCGTTGGCGCAGCCTCGGCCCCCCGACTGGCCCCAGGCGCGGGCCCAGAGGGGGGCCGGCAAGACGCGCCGTTGCGCTGGCTGGCTCGGCGGCGGTACCCGTGTTGGCCACCAGCGCTCTCGGCCTGTTGAGCGCCGCTGCGACCGCCGCCGCGCGGTCGCGTGTGTTCGCGGAACGATGCCCTCTCTGGTTAAGACCGTCGTTTCGAGGATGTTTTTATCCAGGGCTGGTGAGGCGTGGCTCCGATTCTCTACGCTGCTACCCTGGCGAGGGTTGACTTGGGAGACTTGGCTGCCTTCGGCAAGCATGACCTTTAGGCGATCATCGGATCCTTGATTTTTAAAGGCGGAACTGGGGAGTCGGTGCGTAGCGGTGGTCAGCCCATTCTGGGCATCCGCCGCTGTGGTGTCGCAGCCAGCGGATCGTCGACTTGGGGGCCTCGAGCTGGGCAATGCGGCACTGAACGGGTCCCTCAAACCGGAGACGGGGTGAGAGTCTCGTCTGCGCTGGCCTCGCAGGTGGGGTGCGGGCGGGGCTAGGGGTTGCTGCGGAACCGCCCCCTGCTTGGTGGGGGAGCTGAAGCGCGGCGGGTTCGCCGGATCAGGCGGCGGCGAGCGCGCCAGCGCGCTGTTGGTAGGGCGGCCGGTGCGACGGGGAGACTCGGCCTCTGGTCGGCGGCCGTGGTAGCTGCGGCGGGTGGCGTCGCCATGTCAGCGGCTGGGCTGGGGCGACGCGTTGGGGCGGAGGGTCCTTGGGCGCAGCCTCACGTCGCCTCCCAAACCAAAGGCGTCGGGCTCGTCGTCGAGTGGGTCCATATCGACGTCCTGGACGGGGGGGGTTGGTGTCGAGGCCGTCTCTGCCGCCCCCACGGCCCAACGGGTCGTCTGGTTCGCCGGCGTCCGCCAGGGATGCCTCAAGGTGGGCAAGCCCAGCCAGCTGGTTGGCCGGTACCCCATTGGGTGCTTTGCATTGCCATCTTCGCCAGGGCGTGGAGGGAGGAGAGTGGACTGTTTGGATAAATCGAAGGCCCGGGGATTAACACAGAACCCACGCAGCTCTGGGCAACAAAACCCCCAGTGCGACTTTGCCCGCCAGGCCGATACTGTGCATGATCCACAGGCGACTGGGGAATGCGACTGTCACCGAGGGCCGTGCTGCACCCAACGACGGACAATTACCCCGAGCTGGGTACCGAAGCCCCCAGCTCGACATGTCCCTCCGCCGATATTGGTTACGCAGCGTCCACCCCCAACCCCCATCCTGTCTCAGCGGTCCGTCCCTCACGCAGAGCCGAAACCGCACTGCCTAACTGAGCTGGAGGAGGAAGAGGAGGAGGAGGGGGAGGAGGAGGAACAAGGAGGAACGAGGAGGATAGAGGAAACAGCGGGCAGCACGCCCACTTCCTCCCAGCGCCTTTTCCGCCCTTGGCCTTCTTCTGCCGCCTCTTGTACGCGACATCCGTGACGGCCCCACGCGCCGCGCGGCCAAGCCCCCGATGAAGCGCAGCTGGCGCGACACCCGAGCGGCACACGCGCCGCCCTCGAGCGCCACCAAGTGAGAACGCAGTGCAGTGCAGCACGTTCTGCGTCTCCTCGTCTTTCTATTCCAGGCCTACCATATGTCCCTCCTGTGTCTTCCTTTTCCGCCCTCGTCTTTTTGTTCCTTCCCATCGCCCTCCTCCCCCAGGAGAGCTGAGGAGGTTGGCCGCAGCCGAGGTTCCGCTTCATGTTCCGAGGTGCTGTCCAGAAGCTCCGGCACCTGCAGGCGGCAAGCCGCAGGAAGGAGAGGGAGGAGGGGCAGGGGTCAGGGAAAGGAAACGAGGGAAGGAGTGATCAAGAGCAGGACGAAAAGAAGAGGAAATGGAGGAGAAGGACGAGGTCCGTGGCCAATTTGGCTCAAGAGAAATTATGGTGCGAGGCAAGTCGGGTTGAGCGGAACTTGACATTTTTACACCCTCTCACCCGCAACAAGGCCAGGGATTTTGTTCTGCGATACCAGTGTAATTGCCTTGACATTCGGCCGTCCTGTTTTAGATGCAGGGCGCGCATTGGTCAAACAAATTTGGTTCTCGTTTTGCGACAGTCAAGTCCTTGCCATGTTTATGCAGTCAGCAGCACAAGCATAATCGAGCCAACTCGAGGTCTCGACGCCCGAAGTCACAGCCCTGCCGAAACTCGCGGCTGCCACACAAAGAGAGACCCAAGTATGGACGCCAGGCCCCATCTCAGCAGCGGAAGTGGCGAAAGTGATCGAGCAGCAGCCCATGGCGCCAGCCCAGCAGGCACTGATTCATCCCAAGCTCTTGGAGGCGCCGAGCACATCAACGCAGATCCCGGCGTACCGCAACGACATGAACAACAGCCCTGGGGCGCTCGCGACGCTGCTCGTGGCGACGAGGCGTACAGGAACAGAGGACCCACATGTCTGGGAGTAGATCGGAGTTTTCAGATGCGCCCTGAGTGCCTGGGAGCCCACTGCGACGAGGAAAGCCCCAAACCCGTACCCACATGCTTGGGGCCCAATAGAGAGTGGACTCAATCGATCGGAAACTCGAGGAATTGACGACGTGGTCTGCTACGCCGAAGGGGACCATTATCCGTGTGGAGGAGGCCTGCAAGGAATTCGACGCGATGGAGAAGCAAGGGCAGGCCGCCACGGCGAAGACAGCCGCCGCCACCGCTTCCACCGATGGCGCCGGCCAGTTGCGCGGCACAGCCTCCCATGCGGTGGGCGGCCACACCACAGACGCAGCAGTTCATGGGCTACTTTCCTCATGCGGCAGAGGGTGGCCATGAAGGGAGCAGGAACAGTCATGCCACGGATCACATCCTCACACCCGTGTCTGGGAATCCCGTTGTCGCACCGTCTGTGTTCCCCAGTGGCCTGATGAAGCGCCCCGCAGAGGGCGAGGATACTGCTTTCTGGGCGAAGCTCGAGCACATGCTTCAAACATCGGGAAACGAAGTCGTGAAACAACTCGGGGGACGGATCGAAAAAGTCGAAAAGGCGCAGGAAGACTTGGGCAACCGTACGTCGAACTTGGAGGAGAGGATGACCGGGTTGGAGGAGAAGGTCGGGACGATGAGCATGCCGTCAGGGGAGAAGTTCGTTCCGAAGGCAGTGTGGTTGAAGAATTTCTGTGAGTACCACGAGAGGCGTGAGCGGGGGATTTCTCGTCCGCAGGTCGTCACCCACGTACATAAGTTCAAACAGAGTCTCGATCCAACTTTTCAGGAACAGGTGGGGGACTTCGAATTGACAGGCCCAACAAATCGCAAGGTGAAGGTGTATGTGACGGGAGGGTATGCTGTCGAGATCGCGGGCACTTGGAGGGATTACTTCAGGAAGGAGGAGAGCAAATGGAACGGCCGGGTGATCCAGTGCATCGCAGAACGCACGGAGCACGAGCAGAAGTGGTACGACACCGCCGGCAAAGCCATGGCTTGGCTTCGCAATGTCATCTCGGAGGGCGAGCAGCGTTGCTCGTGGATGCCCGATTTCATTCTTCAGGTGAGCGGGGAGATGGGCGACACTATCCCGGTTGGCCACATTAAGCAGGACGCGTCCGTGGGGTGGTACCCTGATGGCATCGAGCGCATCACCCGGTTGGGCTTCCAGCCAGTAGTGGCGTCCTGGAGCAGTTTCGTGACCGGCCCACGGGCCTGAGGGGGCCCAGAGACAGCGATACAGCAGCATTTTAATTCGTGCGCTTTCGTCACGCGGAATACTTGCAGGAAAAGCCAAAACTGTGTCCGTGGGGTTTGCAATACTCTGAAAGAGTTTGTTGGGACCGATGCTGTGGTTGGACTGCAGGAAGCTTCTTGGCACCAGAGCACGTGTAGAGGATACCGCGGTTTCGTGGTGTTCGCTTGGGAGTATTCGGAGGCCGCGTTCTTAATCCCTAGACGTTGGGTGCAGGGCGTGACTGCGGAGCGAGCCGGTTCCTATTGGGCCGGAGTGCTAGTATACGACACTCTTTGCCTCACCGTGTATTTGCTCGACCACTGTATTGATAGTGGGAGGGGGGACCGTACGATATCCGAAGTCATTTCTTTTGTCAGTTCGCTTAGGCAGCAATGTTGCGACAATTGTCTCAAAGTCGTGATTGGCATTGGTGCGAATTGCATTCTTTTTCCCAATTTGGACGGGTTCACCGGCAGTGTGGTTTGTCCACCAGCGGTGAGCCACACACTGAACATGCGTAACGTGTTGTTATCTCTGCTGGGCTCTCTGGGGCCTAGGGCTCTGAACTACTTGACACCGAGCTGAACAACAAAGCCGATGAGCTTCATTCACTCAATGCTGCCGATGCCCTGAAGTCTGTTAAGGCTATCATGTGCTCAGTGGTCAAGCGCGCACGGCATCTCCTTTCTAATCAAATAGCCTTTACATTCACTTTGAAGCATCACTGGTGTATGGTAGCCCTGAGGGGGCTACGAGCGCAGCAGGACCACATGGTGTGCAAGGCTGTCAGTTGCTATCCCGAGCTTCAGAGGTTCTTTGACTGCGAGACCCTGCTCTGTCATGACCGCCCTGGTCTTTGTGAATTGACGCAGGAGATTTATGTTAAGATTTTAACAGAGGAGGAGGAGGATATTGAGAGCGATAACAGCATGAACGATGATGCAAAGAAAGCTGCACCAGCAAAACTACGGAGGAATATGGAGCTCTGGAGGAAATTCAGAAGGCGAGCCTTTCTTACTGCTGTGCTTGACGCAAACGGAAGCCCATGTACTACCCTCGAGCAGTCGGCCAATGTGCTTGCTGAAAATTGGGGAAGTGTTTTTTCGCCAGCTACGGAAGACCGTGCCAGATGGGTGGAAATACTGAGGCATGTTCAGAAGGTCCCCGAGGACCTCGAGGTTTCCTGGAAGGTTGAATATGCTAGCTTTTTTTCGAACATATCCGACGTTGCCGCAACTCGATGCCTGGCGCAGACGGTGTTCCATATGCGTGCTGGCCAATTGGGGGTGCGCCGAGATACCCCGACAATTTTTAGATCGAGATCATCAATGGAACTGTCTCAGAGCTGCCTGACGACATGGGGGAACTACGGATGGTTTTCTTGCCTAAGGGTAAGCAGGAGGGGCGGGGCAGGGAACATTATACGGGATGCAGCATGCACGCGCCCGCTCTCCATGTCTAACACCGATTCGACGATCCTCTCTGCTGTGTTCTGCCACCCATTGAATGAGCTCTCTAAAGTGACTGTTGCACCCCTTCAGAAGTGTGTTAAAAGGTAGACAAATGCACGCGAATGTAGCGCAGGCAGGAAGTTGGGGGCTCCAACAAGAGTTGCTCGCACATGACTCGGCTGGCATCCTCTCGACTGCTGTCTCTGCCGCTTTCCCGTCGCTGCTGCGCGTTTGGATGTTTGCCGTGCTCGATGCTATGAATGCCCCCCTCCTTCATCGCTAACTTCTACATCATGCTCTATATGAATAACCAGGGCGCGGTAACACATTGTGGGCAGAAATTCGGAAGCTTTCCTGCCCAGAGGGGCGTGCGTCAGGGCGACCCTATCCATGGCCCTCTTCGGTTAATGCAGTGATCCCGTGTTGCGATGGATCCAGCAGCCCCCCCCCCCCCGCCCACGCTGCTCTGTGCCTTGCCTTTGCCGACGACTGTCTTCTTGGAATGGTGGATGTTTTTTTTCGCTCGACTGTTGCCGTGTGGCGCATGCGTCTCGTTCTTCAGTCTGCTACTGGGCTGGCGCTCAACTTCCGCAAGTGCGCTGCTCGATATGCGGGGGGGGGGTAGGAAGGGGGAGGTCAGTGCCATGATGTCCAAGGGGGCGAGGGGGCTGGAGATGGTGGGAGTAAGTTCAGCAATCAAGTATTCGGGGCTGTATATTGGCCCAGATGATGCGGGCGCGGCGCGGAGTGCCCCGCTGGCGAAATTTGTTGCCGGGTGTGCGATGCTTAGGCAGCTTGCCCCTGGATATGCGATGACGGTTTCTACCTTTCTGGTTATGTGCCTCTCTGTGCTCCAGTTTGTCCTCCAGGTTGAACCGGTCACGAAACAAGTCATGCATATGTACGAGCGCATGTTGCAGTGCCTTGCGAATGGTCCATACAATGCGTTCTCATATAACATGCTTGTCTCGCTTCGATGCCGCATCGAGTCCCCAGATCTTGATGCTCTCTCGCGCGCCTGCCGCGCCCGTCTTGCTGCGAAATGCCCTGGCATCCGCGAGTGCTGGGGCGAGCTGCAGAAGCTCACAGAGAGCAGCGCAGTATGCTTTGCCAGAGTTGTTGACCCACGTGGATGGCATCGCAGGTCGTTTTTTACTTAAGATGTTTGCGGTGCAGAGTGCCCAGACTATTGTGCAGCTCTCTGATCTTCCCCCTGATGCACTCCAGCGGAATCTCTGCGCCCGTCTCCGCGCCCTTCCTTTTCCTGGTCCTACGGCGTTTGAAGGCCTTCAGTATCGACTGAGAAAGTGGCTGCCCGAAGTGGGTTACAGTAACCCATCTTGTCTTTCAAAACCGACGAAACGCAGCAGCGACATCCCCTTGCCTCGCTACGTGTGTACTTCGTATCTGCACGCGTGGTGCGTGTACGAGTGCACGCTTTCACTTTCGACCTCGTGGCTGTATCTTTGGGTGTGCTCATCGGGAACTTGGGTTTGAGATGTCTCGGGTTTATGATGATCTACGTCATTGCAGATTCTGCCATCGCTTTCGCGAGTTATGTGTCCAATTGATGGGTGCTGCTTTTCCAATTGCCCCTGTGATGATTCCATGGATTGCCGCGCTGATTCA